AACATTTTATTTTTAAAACAAACAAAAGTCTGCGCTCAACTTCATTAGTAATCACAGAAATGCAGTTTAAAACCATGGGCTATCACACTCCACACGATCAAAATGCTAAGATCATGAACAGAACTGAGCACATGGAGCAATGGAAACTCATCTCTGCTGCTGGGAGGGTAAATCAGGGCAGCCACTTGGAAAATAGTTCAGTATTATCTGATAAAGTTGAAGGAGCACACATTCTAAAATGCAGCAGTTCCAACGTACATAGACCTCAGGAGATATGTACAAAAATCTCCATAGCAACTTGCAACAGTACAAATGTCCACCAGCAACAGAATCAATAAAATGTGGTATAATCAAACAATGGAATACTATATAGCAATGAAAAAGAATGTGTCACCGCTATGCAAACATATGGATGAATCTTCAAACCCAATGGTGTGCAAGAGAAGCAAGATATACAAAATTACCGTGTTCAAAATCAGGAAAAGCAAAACACTTTTGTTTATAGTGTTTAGGAATACATAATTATACATTAAAACCATAATGAAAAATGCATGCTTTCAAAGTCGAACTAGAGGATTATCCCTAGTTTGATATTTGACTTTGACTCTGGGAGAAAAACTTTGTTTGGCAATTTACTATTGATTAGGCTCAGACTCTAATGACTGAGGCTCATTATAGAATACAAAATGCTAATTATTTTTGGCCAGCTGAGATGCAAAGCATTTCTGCCTGCAGCAAAGATATTTTCAAGGTCTATGATTTTATTGTCCTGTAGGACATTAATCAACGTGTAACTAATGGTAGGCCCTTAACCAGTTCTGTAGCTAACTGTATCCAGCACTTTCTTTATTTTTTTGGGAGAAGAATTCTTGCTCTGTCATCGAGGCTGGAATGCAGTGGTACAATCTCAGCTCACTGTAACCTCTGACTCCCAGGTTCAAGTGATTCTCCTGCCTCAGCTTCCCAAGTAGCTGGGACTACAGGCATGCACCACCACACCTGGCTACTTTTTCTATGTTTAGTAGAGACAAAGTTTCACCATGTTGGCCAGGCTGGTCTTGAACTCTGGACCTCAGGTGATCCGCCGCCTCGGCCTCCCAAAGTGCTGGGATTACAGGCATGAGCCACCTCGCCCGGCCCCAGCACTTTCTTTCACAGACTAGCATTTACCTCTGCCTCTCATATTCCCCAGCCTGAATCTCCAGCTGGTTCCCTCATAATTAAATAAAGCTATGATAAGTACTTGCTATGTGGGAGTTATATTTTTAACACTGTGAACAAGATCTTGACAGGCGTATGGTAATACAATGTATAGTATACCTGCCTGGTGAGTAAACAGGTGTTTACTATATGTGTTACTATGTGTCATATTCCATACATAAAAAAAGTTGTAAGGACACAAAATTGTATACAGAAAATCCATATGTAAGCAAATAAAAGAGGCTCCCATAAAGGGACTCCAGTGACTAAAGTTTCCCATCCTCCAACACCACTAGAGCTCATGACCAAAGGCCAGGATGCCTAACATGTAACCTTCACCCCATAGCATGGATCCATCAAAAGGCAACTCTTTAGATGCCTTTAATGATGACACAACTACTCACCATAGATGTGTAATATACTGGCCACTTCCTCATCTCCACACACTCTCAGTACTAGACAATGGCCAAACTTTTCGGCCACACTTCACTTCATGTCCCTTTGACTACAGTGTAGAAAGCAGACAGGCCTGCCTTTAAAGGATTAATAACACTGACAACATAACCGGGTGTGATGGTGTGTGCCTGTAATCCCAGCAGCCTGGGAGTCTTGGGCTGGGGGATCACTTAAGCCCAGGAGCTAAAGGCTGCAGTGAGCTATGATCACGTGACTATACTCCAGCCTGGGCAACAGGGTAAGACATTGTCTCTGAAAAAAATAAAGTATAAAAAGAAAAACTAGCTGGACGTGGTGGTGTACAACTGTGGTCCTAGCTACTCAGGAGGCTGAGGTGGGAGGATGGCTTGAGTCCAGAAGGTTGAGGCTGCACTGAGCCGTAAACACTGCACTCCAACCTGGATGACAGAGCGAAACTCTGTCTCAAAAATAAAAATAAAAATAAAGCTCCCTGGGATTCTGAGGCACAGCCTGATCCGGCACCCTCTGCCTTAGGGGTTGGTCAGCTTTCTCAGACTTTTAGGTGGTGGCTCTCAAACTTCAGAGAGCACCACAGAAACCCAGGGTATGTGTTTAACATGCTGATTCCTGGGCCCCGCTCGCAGAGAGGCTGATTCTGGCAGCAGGGGAGAAGCCTGTGAGTCTGCATTTTCAGTCAACCCTCCAGGTGACTGTGCTACAGCTGTCTGGAGGCCCACATCCGACGGTAACTGCTTTCATTAAAACCAAGCTGTCTCCAGGCTCTGCGGTCACACCCCACAGGCTCTGCTAAAGCTGCAAAAGCAGCTACCAGGCCGGCCTCAGTCCCTTCCCCCACCTCCTGCACAGTGAGGAGGGCAAGATGGTTATCTCCCGAGGTGTGGATGGCTTGGCCAGGGTGTCGGGTTTTGTCACCAGGACATTAACACCTCTAATAACTGGGGGAGGGAAGAAGAGGAGCTGGCCTAGGCTGAGTGTGGAGTGTTCTGGAAGCCTTCCAGAAAGGGAAGCAGGGATGACTGGGCTTCCTTCTCTCCCCTCCTCCAAAACCCACAGGGTGAAGCAATGAGTGACCGGCCAGGGGCCTGGGGGGTGGAGATTGGGAGCAAGTGTCACTGATCAAAGACAGGGGCCTTTACGTGAAAAGCCGCAGGGGCTGAAGAGCCAACATTCCAGCTCTGCAAACCATCCTGGGTTTTTGCCATCATCTAAGGCCATCTCCTCCTCCCCACCTTTCCAAGTGGGGAGCTCTGAGACACAAACTGAAGGTCTTACCCTTTGGAGGGTCTGCGTGAAGGGAAGCTCCGGGGTGTGAGGCCAGGCCTTGGTGTATAAAGAGTCAACTGCGACAGGCCTCTTGGAGGGGCGGGGACAAGGATTAGAGTGCCCGTCCCCAGGCAGGCCCTGCTAGCCAAAAGGAAGCGTTCCATTTCCTCAGGCTACCAACTGCAAACTGCAGGTCCAGTTGCAAAACCCATTCACAGTAAGCCTACAACCAGCATCTTTTTTCTTTTTGGAAACAGGGTCTCACTCTGTTGCTCAGGCTAGAATGCAGTGGTACAATTATGGCTCACTGTAGCCTCGACCCTCTGGGCTCAGGTGATCCTCCCATGGCAGCCTCCTGAGTAGCTAGGACCACAGGCGCGTGCCATCATACCTGGCTAGTTTTTGTATTTTTTTGTAGAAACAGTTTTACTATGTTCCCCAGGCTGGTCTCAAACTCCTGGACTCAAGCAATCCTCCCACCTCAACCTGCCAAAGTGTTGGGAATTCAGTCCTTGTAGGGGCTGTATAATGTGAGGGTGTGTGGGGGCCTGCAAACAGCATCTTTAGAAAAGATCTGAGCGTAGTGGCTCATGCCTGCAATCCCAGCACTTTGGGAGCCGAGGTGGGAGGATCACTGAGGTCAGGCGTTAGAGACCCGCCTGTCCAACATGGTGAAACGCCATCTCTACCAAAAATAAGTTAGCTGGGGAGGCAGGGGAGGCTGGGGGCGGTGGCGTGCACCTGTAGTCCCGGCTACTCTACTTGGGAGGCTGAGGCAGGAGAATCGCTTGAACCCTGGAGGCGGAGCACCACTGCACTCCAGCATGGGCAACAGAGCGAGACTCTCTCAAAAACAAAGATCTGACCGTGCTCGAAGTAAGAAGTACTCATGCATGAAAGCTTCCATTCTGTTTTCCCTCTCCATACATGTATGCCTGTCGATGGGTCAGACGTCAGATGTGTATTTTATTGTAAGCTGAAGTCAGAGTTTGAAAGCCACAGTTTTGGGCACGGCTGGTTCTGCTATGTGTGGGCCGCCCGTGCTTCTGAAATCCACCTGACCCACCACTGCAGCCCATTCGAGGCATGGCCCAGCCAAGCTCTAAAAGGAGCGCTCTGCCGAGGGGGCCGAGTGGAGGGTGGGAAGGGTTGTGGAGCGCAGGATGTGGGTGCCGAGGTGACCGCCGGAAAGCCAGGCACTCCCCCAATCTCTCCCCCAAGTTCCTCAGCCCAGGGTGACACTGGGAACTTACTGATCCCTTCCTGTTCCATTTATGAAGACAGCTGCCTGACTAAACCCTCCCTGGCAGGACCTCCTAGGCCAGGCTGGCTGGGCACCCCCTGCCGTTCTGTGTGCGGGTCCCCTGCCTGGGCTCCGTGGTTGCGGCTCCCCGCAGCACCCTGCCCCCACCTGCCTAAAGCCACACAGGCTGCTTGCCTGTGGCTCTGCCAAGCAGGAAACCGAAGCCTGCTCTCTGGCCACAGGTGCCATGGAGGGCACATGACACTGGGAACAGCTGACCCCCGCCCACTCTTCACGCCCACTCCTGCCATAGCCAGCTGCCACTGACCATCAGGGAGGCGTGGGGTCTGAGCCAGGGGGTGCAGGGCTGGCGGGCAAAGCCTGCTGGGGTTTTTACACAGGAAGGAAGAGGAGGCTGAGGTGGGGGAGGAGGCTGAGGAAGGCGGAAATGACTGCAATGTTGGCACCCAGGCACAGACCAGGGAGGCCAGGCACTCCTCACACCCCAGTTTTGACCTTTGTGCTAAGATGAGATGTGCCGTCTACACCCTGATACCCACCATACCCAGAAAAAAGAACAACAGCTTCTGAGAGAGTGGGGGAGTGATTTAGCACACAGCTCCCCCTCCCTCCTTCCGCCCAGAACACAGTCCCTTCAAGGAGGAAATACTGTACGGGCTCGTCTGCAGGTGCCCAGAGAAGAGGCATCTGGGAATCCCAAGCTCTTCCCCAGGCCTACCCCGGAGAGCAGGGGCAGTGGAGGCACTGACCTCCTTCACGTCTGACAGGTTGGCAGGGAGGGGACCCAACAGAGGGCAGCGGGGACACCAAGGGGCAGGGCGGGGCAGGAGCTCACGTTACTGATCTGGTCCTGGGTCTTCTTGATTCTCTGGAGCTCAGGCGTGTCCGCGACCACGCTGAAGCCTTTGCCCTTGTTCTTCTCAAACTCCTCCTTGTAGCGCACCTGCGGGAGGGCGGAAGAGGGACTGGAGTCAGGCCAGGAGCAAAAAGGGCCTCAGCTTGGGGCCCTCTGAGGCAGCAACCAGTCAGGAAACGGGGACAGAAGGTCAGGAGAAAGACCCTGACCCGAAGTCCCCAACGCAAAGCAGAAGCCTCAGCCAAAAGGTGTTGGACTCGTAATAAGCCACTACCAAGTCTTCAGTGCACTGAGTGGCAGGCACAGAGCCAAGGGTCTTACATGAACCATCTCATTTAAGTCCTACCATATGTACATGCACGCAATTAACAGCTCCATTTTACCCATCAGGAAACGGAGCCACGGACAGCCAAAGTGCCCTGCCTGAGGTCACAGAGCTTTGTGGTCCAGGTCCAGTGCAAACCCTCAACTGCCTGACTCCTGACCCTTCACTCCCAGCCCATCCTGTCTGGAAGCTTGTAGGAAAAAGGTTCTTTCCAGAGCTCCCAGGGTGGCCCCAGCTCTCATGTTAGCCAGGATGTGGCCCTGCCCACTGTGCCTGGGGGAGACTTTCAGCAACCAGCTGAGTGAGGCTGTGCCAAAGGACAGAGTTGGTGCCCAGAAAGGAGGGCTGTGAGACGGCCCCGGGCAGGCTCCATCAATGCGCCTTTGACAGGCCCCACAGATTCTGGGAGCCTGCTGGGCTGGCTTCGGAGGCCACCGCCATAGGAGGGGAGGAAAGTGGCGGGGGTCAGACACATCTCAGCAGGTCTCCAAGCTCCAGGGAAGAGCCCTTCCACCCCATCACAGTACCAGAGAGACTCAAGTCAGACATCAGAAAGGACTTCCCTGCAAGAAAGGAATTGAAATATGAGGTACAGCTTGTCCTCCCTGGGGGTTGTGAAGAACAGAATGAGGCTGAGAAAGCTCATGGAACAGGAAACCACGCCTTGGCTTCCAGAGACCTCACTGTCCACCTCAGTAGCCATCTGTTCCAGAACTCCGCCAGCTGCTTGAATTTCCTCCTTGGGGGCTACACTGTCCTGAACTCAGGTCAGCCCAGGACACAGGGCCCAGGACCTTGGGAGTTTCCAGGAGGACAAACGCGGGCAGTTCCCAGTCAGGGACTCATCTGGCAGCAGTATCGAGCTGTGCTCGAACTGGAGCGACTGCGCATGCGCGCGCAGCCACCACCACACCTGTCAGGCCCTCTGCACATCCCACGGGGGTCAGAGTCCTGGTTTGTCCCCTGAAGCCCCTGTCACTCACCCATGTGGTTCCCTCTCCTTTTCCCTTCTGATCCAGACAAGAAGGGCCTGGATGTGTTGGTCCCCATCAGATCAGAAGTAAATGCAGTGGACAGAGGCACCAACCCACCCAAGAGTCCATAACCTGCCTGGCACCAGCTCTTCCGGGAAGTCACCTGGGCCAGCAAGGTGACTCTTAGTGGGAGGCCCTTTGGGAAGCGGGTATTGGTGAAGGTAAGGCACTCAGAGACAGAAAAATCTAGCTCCAGATACAGAAGCCCTGCATCTAAAGGCCCTGGCCTCGGTTTCCTCATCTGTGAAAGAGTTATCACAGAAATCAGCTGTAATATGGGGAGGGGGCTTATCACCAAGTACGGGCACAAAGCCAGGCAGAGCCGGCACTAACACAGGCTCAGTCTCCCACTTCTGAGTGATCCTGGGCCACTGACTTAACATCTCAAGACTCAGTTCCACCAGCCACAGTGGCTCATGCCTGTAATCCCAGCACTTTGGGAGACCAAGACGGGCGGATTACTTGCGGTCAAGAGTTCAAGACCTTGGGAGGTCGAGGTGGGTGGATCACCTGAGGTCAGGAGTTCAAGACCATCCTGGCCATCATGGTGAAATCCCATCTTAAAAAAAAAAAAAAAAGTTCAAGACCAACCTGGCCAACTTGGTGAAACCCCGTCTCTACTAAAAATACAAAAATTAGCCAGCCATGGTAGTGGGCACCTGTAATCCCAGCTACTCAGGAGGCTGAGGCAGAAGAATCACTTGAACCTAGAAGGTGGAGGTTGCAGTGAGCCAAGATCACACCACCGTACTCCAGCCTGGGTGACAGAGCAAGACTTCATCTTGGGAAAAGAAAACACAGTTCCCACTTCTGTAAAATGGGAACCATAGTGCCAGTCATTCCAATCTACGAAGCAGACAGTGGCTCCAAAGCAGCTGCGCGCCATGGAGCGTGCAGTAGGACTAGACATGCGCTGACGAGGGACAGTGTGAAAATGCTCTGTCAGCAACGAAGTGCTGAACAAATGCCAGCCCCCACTTCTTCCCCTGCTTCCTGGCTTTGCAAGGGTCAGGCCCCTAATCCAGGGGAATAATCGCCATGGCGACGCTGCAATGACATCAGCTGGTTCCCAGGCTCAGGAACCACTTCTGCCTCCCCCTCCCTGTTGGGGAAGGATCATTCATTTCACTGCTGACATAGGAGGCCCTCAGAGGGTGGAGCTGGGGTAGGGGCTGAGAAAGGAGGGTGCCTAGAATTACCACCACCTTGCTGTGTGTCTCTAAGCAAGTCAGTTCCCCTCTCAGGGTTCCCTGAAGGGAGCTGGCTAGCTGATCTCTACAAGCCCTCCCATTTGGAATCTGTAACCACTTTTTTTTTTGAGACAAAGTATACCTCTGTTGCCCAGGCCGAAGTGCAATGGCATGACCTCAGCCCACTGCAACCTCTGCCTCCTGGGTTCAAGCAATTTTCCTGTCTCAGCCTCCCAAGTAGCTGGGATTACAGGAATCCACCACCATGCTGGGCTAATTTTTTGTATTTTTAGTAGAGACAGGGTTTCACCATGTTGGCCAGGCTAGTCTTGAACTCCTGACCTCAGGTGATCCACCCACCTTGGCCTCCCAAAGTGCTGGGATTACAGGCGTGGCCCACCATGCCCGCGTCTGTGACCGTTTTTAGCACCTTTACACCCTGACTGTGGAGAATCAAGACAGGGAAGACTCTTTGAGAGGCCTCTGGGTAGGGAGGGGTGGCAGAAGTGAAGGGTGGGGGGCCAGGAGTGTAGGGAGGACCCAGCCTGGAGCCCCTCCACCGGGGCTCCCTTCTCGCCCAGGCAGGAGTGCTTGCCCTGTTGTCTAGGATGGCTCACCAGGGTGCCGTGGGGGTCCCTGTGGAGGGAGGGACCTGCCCAAGGTCACAACCCAGTTGTCACTCAGGCCAGGATGCAACTCAGCACTTCGGCCAGCAAACCACACTCCTGGGAGATCCTGGGCTCCCAATTTGGAAACTCTGGTGTCAGGGCCAGGACTGACTGGCCCTGAGGCTCCCGACACCCAAACCACCACCACGAAACTCTAACTTTTATGTCAGTTCTTAGTTATTCTCCCTGGATCTATCTTGCTTCTCATCCCTTCAGACAGGAAGTACAAAATCAACGTTGTTGGATGATGAATGAATTGAATGCAGACACATAATCTCCAAACAAACAAAGGAGCATAACTGGGAAAATACCTGCCTTGATGACCCAACACAAGAAGAAAGGTCATTACTTAAAAACAAAAATTACGCCAGGCATGGTGGCTCATACCTGTAATCCCAGCACTTTGGGAGGCTGAGGAGGGCAGATCACCTGAGGCTGGGAGTTCCAGACCAGCAGCCTGACCAACATGGAAAAACCCCATGTCTACTAAAAATACAAAATTAGCCAGGCGTGGTGGCTCATGCCTGTAATCCTGTAATACTCGGGAGGCTGAAGCAGGAGAATCGCTTGAACCCAGGAGGCAGAGGTTGCTGTGAGCCAAGATCACACCACTGTAGTCCAGGCTGGGCAACAAGAACGAAACTCCGTCTCAAAAAAAAAAAAAAAAATGCCAAGCGTGGTGTCTCATGCCTGTAATCCCACCATTTTGGAAGGCCAAGGCAGGTGGGTCACCTGAGGTCAGGAGTTCAAGACTAACCTGGCCAACATGGTGAAACCCTGTCTCTACTGAAAAAACACACAAAAAAATTAGCAGGCATGGTGGGCGTAATCCCAGCTACTTGGGAGGCTGAGGCAGGAGAACTGCTTGAATCTTTTATTGCTTGAAAGGTTGCAATGAGGCAAGATGGCGCCACAGCACTCCAGGCTGGGCAACGAGTGAAACTTGGTCTAAGAAAAAAAGCAAAAATTAGGCTGGACTTAAAAACAAAATGGTTCACATCTGTAATCCCAGCAGTTTGAGAGGCCAAGGCAGGTGGATTGCTTGAGCCCAGGAGTTCGAGACCTGCCTGGGCAACACAGCACCCCATTTCACAACGTGGTGAAACCCTGTCTCCATAAAAATAAAAATAAAGCAGGGCGCGGAGGCTCACGCCTGTAATCCCAGCACTTTGGGAGGCTGAGGCAGGCAGATCATGAGGTCCGGAGATCAAGACCATCCTGGCTAACACAGTGAAACCCTGTCTCTACTAAAAATACAAAAAATTAGCCAGGCGTGGTGGCAGGCGCCTGTAGTCCCAGCTACTCGGGAGGCTGAGGCAGAAGAATCACTTGAACCTGGGAGGCAGAGGTTGCAGTGTGCTGAGATCACACCACTGCACTCCAGCCTGGCAGCAGAGCAAGACTCTGTCTCAAATAAATAAATAATTTTTAAAAATTCATAAATTTTATTTATTTTTTTATTTATTTTTAAATAGAGGTGGGGGTTCACCATGTTGGCCAGGCTGGTCTCAAACTCCTGACCTCAGGTGATTCGCCCGCGTCGGCCTCCCAAAATGCTGGGATTACAGGCATGAGCCACCACGCCCAGCCAATTTTTTTTTTTTTAAATACAAAATGTGTTGAGCAAAATACAACACCAACAATTTCCACTATTATGTGCCTACTATGTGCTGCAGCAACATACTCTGTAACCCATCCCCTTCTAAGGAAAAAGAAACTAGCTTTTAAATGTAGGCCAGGCGCAGTGGCTCATGCCTATAATCCAAGCACTTAAGGAGGCCAAGGTAGGCAGATCACTTGAGTCCAGGAGTTTGAAACCAGCCTGGGCAACATGGCGAAACCCTATCTCTACTAAAAATACAAAAATTAGCCAAGCGTGGTGGTGCACGCCTGTAATCCCAGCTGTTCAGGAGGCTGAGTCTGGGAAGTCAAGGCTGCAACGAGTCGAGATCGCACCCCTGCACTCCAGCCTGGACGACAGAGACAGACTCTGTCTCAAAAAAAATAAAAATAAAAAATTAGCCGGGCGCGGTGGCTCACGCTTGTAATCCCAGCACTTTGGGAGGCCGAGGCGGGTGGATCACGAGGTCAAGAGATCGAGACCATCCTGGTCAACATGGTGAAACCCCGTCTCTACTAAAACAACAAAAAATTAGCTGGGCATATGGTGGCGCATGCCTGTAATCCCAGCTACTCAGGAGGCTGAGGCAGGAGAATTGCCTGAACCCAGGAGGCGGAGGTTGCGGTGAGCTGAGATCGTGCCATTGCACTCCAGCCTGGGTAGCAAGAGCGAAACTCCGTCTCCAAAAAAATAAAATTAAAATAAAATAAAATAAAAATTTAGACTCATACAGATGGAGAGGAGAGCTGATGGAAAGAGCCGGGGCTGGAAGTCGTGGTCAAAAGGTTGCTGTGTGTGCTTCCCCACTTCATCATACCCAAGTTCCATTCCCTCTGCTTTCCAGGAGAACCGTCACAGCAAACGCTGAGTGCTGACTCCACACCAGGAATCTTTAAACGCTTAGCATGTACTCCTATCTCACACCATCCTCTGGAGGGAGGTAATCCCCATTTTCAGACAAAGGTACTGTGCAGAGAGGTTAAGTAACTTGCCCAAGGTCACACAACTGGTGGCAGCAGATGTAGGATTCAATCTCAGGCCAGCTAGTTCGGGTAAGAGTGATGCCCCTCCAGCCTCACTGCTCACAATCTCCAAGGAGGAGGAGAAACCCCCCTGTCATTTCCCACGACCTCATGAAGGTGAGTTGATGAATGTAAAAAGTGGAACAGGCTCCTGGCACTTGGCACTTCTGCCTGGGCTCAGGGCCACACAGATACCTCCAGCTTAATCCCACCCCAAGGCCGCTGCCTCTGCTCACCCTGAGGGTGGGGTGGGAGCAGCAGGTGAGAAGGGGGGCTGGGGATCCTGCTGCCAGCCCCGAGTCAGCCAGGCCTGGGCAGGACTACCAGAGGGTCATTTCTGGACAGTTCCGTGGTGACCTCCTCCACAGGGGAGGAGTCAAGTGTCCCAGACACCTAAAGTGCCACTTTGGAGACCAATATAGAGATGGGAAAATAAACAAAGCTGAAATAGCCCGGGAGCTTAGGCCCAGAAGGGGCATGGAGAGAAGCCAGCTGCCCCCGTGGGTGGAGCTGGTGAGCAGACGCGGCTCCCATTTCCCTTCCCACAGGCGGCTCTCGCCAGCCCTGCCCCTGCTGCGGCCACAGGAACCAGAACCTGTCACTGCTCCAGCCTGGCCGGCTCAGCCCTTCCAACCCTCAAAGCATCAGGCCCAGCCCCCAGCTTGAGGCAAATGGGTTTGCTGTCCCCATTTTACTGTTGAGGAAGAACAGCCCTGAGAGGAACGACAGCTCTGGGCCCAGTCTCAGGCCACACAGCTAGGGGTGGTGGGAAGGGAGACAGGACTGCAAAGAAGGCAGTGCACATTCTTCCCTGCCTGTCCTGGCCGTCAGCCCCCACCCCGAGGACCCCCACCTCCAGGGGACAGAGCTGGGCCCTCAGTGCAAAGCCCTACCCTAACCTTGCACCCCTCAGAGAATACAAACGGGGTCGGAGCTCTCCTGCCCACGGGCCCATCTCTAAGCTTCTTAAAGTGGGACCAAAAGTCTTTATAGAATCACAGGGGAGTCAAAACACAGATTCTTACACCTTACGCAGAGCTGCCAAGCAAGTCCCTTGGGTGGTGCCTAGAAATCTGCATTCCAACAAGCCCTCCCTACTTGCCGGTGTCTGCTGCATCCTGTAGGGTGGGAGCACGGGGCGGGGTGCCTGTGCCGTCAGCACCGTTCAGAGCAACCGGCTACAGGGCTAGATTGCAGGGCTTGATGTCTGCCTCTGTCCGTGGGCTCAGGGCAAGTGGGGCAGCCTCTGTAAACATCAGCGTCCCTATCTGTATGATGGAGATAGTAACAGCCACTCTTTCTTTTTTTTCTAAAGATGGGGTTTCACCATATTGCCAGGCTGGTTTTGAACTCATGACCTCAGTTGATCCACCCACCTCAGCCTCCCAAAGTGCTAGGATTACAGGCGTGAGCCACCGCGCCTGGCTAACAGTCACTCTTTCACCAGGTGGCTGTGACGATTAAAAAAAGTCAGGCACACACACGCGCGCACACACACACACACACCCCCTACAGGCACAGTCTGGCCCTCAGTGAGACCCTAATGAAAAGTGACCACCATTCTTATCTCTCCAGATCCCTGCCCGGGAACCCGGCAGGCCAGGCCTCTGGGAAACAGGGGGCACAGGCCAGGGACAGGAGCCCCCAAACCCAGAGTGTGGTGCCGGCTTCCCCTGTGGGGAGCAGAAGCAGCCCCTGCCAACAGCAGGCTCTGCCCACCTGCTGCCCATCCTGGCCAGGGGGAACCACGTGGAGTGCTTCCTCCTCAAACCCCACCCCTCCGGGATCAGGTGCCAGGGGCAAAAAGAGCTGCAGCCATGGCAAAAAGAGCTGCAGCCATGCTTTTGTGGGACTGACAAAGGCTGAGGGGTTTGAATTTCTCCCCTGAGAAGGGGAGGGAGGGTGTGTGTGAGTGTGTGCGTGTGTGTGAGTGTGTGTGTGAGTGTGTGTGTGTGTCTGTCTATGTCTGTCTCTCTCTCTCTCTTTCTCTCTCTCTCCAAAGACCTGCCACCTGCTCCCAGCTCCTTCTGAGCCCCTCCACCCCGGCCCCCATGGCCAGGGAATCTGAGGCAGGAGTTAGGGCCTGGCAGGAATCCGTAAAATCTGGCCAGGAAGCCAGGCCCCTGCCTCCTTGGCTGACAGCAGGCCATGGTGTTCCCAGCAACTTCAGCTTCTGCCACAGGTGAAGGGTGGCAGTTGTGAGCTGCTGCTGCCCGGTCTGTGGGCCTCAGGCCGTACCACGGCTGTGCAGGGTCAGGGGCCCCACGCTTGGAATGCAAGACCAGGGCCCAAATCCTGGATCCTCAGTCACCCGCTCACAGTTCCCTCATCTGTAAAACAGAGACAGTGGGTCTTCTACCTTCCCCCAGAGCCGAGTCAAGGGTAAACAGGGAAGTAACTAAAGCCATTTGCTCAACTATGCAATTTCTTCCTTTCCCTTTTTTTAGGGACAGGGACTCACCCGTCACCCAGGCTGGAGTGTAGTGATGCCATCATGACTGCAGCCTCCAACTCGACAGCTCAAGTGATCCTCCTGCCTCAAATTCCCAAATAGCTTCAACCACAGGTACACACCGCCATCCCTGCTAGGTTTTTTGTTTGTTTGCTTTACAGGGACCAGGTATTGCTATGTTGCCCCGGCTGGTCTCGAACTCCTGGGCTCAAGTAATCCTTCCACCTTGGCCTCTCAGAGCACAGAGATTACAGGCACGAGCCACAGTCCCCACCATAAACTACAAAACTTCTCTACAGCATAAAGAACTATCATGTTTATTATTAAGGTAGAGACTGTTCCTTAGGGAGTGGAGAGTCTCAGGGTGAGACAGCCCTGCATTCAAATCTGTCCGCGTCTAATTTCTCTTCTCTAAAGGGAGGGATCCTACAGCTGCACGGGACTGGGTACGATTAAAGGAGCGCACGTTAACATTGTTATGGCCTCTCCTCCTACCCGCAGGACCTCAGCCAGTCCCTTAACGTCGCTGGGCCTCAGTCGCCTCATCTGTTAACAACGGGGAAGACAGCACCTTCCTCACAGGTCAGCTGGGAGGATTCCCAGAGAGGGTGCATGGAAAGCCCAACACAAGGTAGGGTCGCTTCTCCCTGATGGACGGACCCAGGCTGTCAGTCAAGATCAGGCAGCAGGAGTCCCCTCCAGAGGAACCTCGAGAGGCCCCGCTGTGGCCCAGTGGAACTTCTGCAGTCTTCTGCTGTTCTGGGGCACCTGCCCGTGCAGTAAATTCCTCTACAGGTATTCTCTCGCGTAATTCTTTCATCTGCTGAAGCCCCCACCACCCCGCACCCCCATCACCAGGTTTGTCCGGGAAGCCCTTGCACCCCCAGCCAGGGCAAGTCAGTTGTTCTGTTCTCAGGGCTCCAGACCCTTTGCTTATTCTTCAGTGTCCCTGAGGACTGGAACCCGTCCTCCCCATTACAGGGGCACACACCTCCCACTCAGTAGGGCTCTAGAAAGTCAAGCCAAAGGAGACAAAGGCAGGACAGCCCCCCTCCCCAAGGCAGAGCCCTTCACACCTTGCCCACCAGGGCGTGGAGGTTTGGGACGTGGCTATAGAGGGTGAGCTGCACAGCCTCAGAATGGCATGACCTGGAGGGGCAAATTCCTTGGTCCTCCCAAACCTGTCCTTTGTGGGTGAGTGTGAATGGGGAAGAGGGAGGGGAGAACAGCTTCCTAGAGGAGGTGGGCTTTAGGGAGCCCCAGAGCAGGCTCAACAGACACCCCCACACCTCTCCAACACCCTCTAGGTAGGAACCTGGGGAATGCTCTGCCCTGCTCCTTTGATAAAGTCAGGGGTGGGGGCCGAGAGTCAAGGCAATGCCCGGATTGATTTCAGCACCTCAGCCTTGCAGAGTTACCGCAGGGGGAAGGTGCTCTTGCCAAACGCCCGGCTTACAACATCCCTCCCCAGCATCCCTGCCCCCACAGCCCCTCACCTGACTCTGGAGCTCACTCTGTTGCTTGAGGCGAAGGTTTTCCGGGGTGTCGGCCACCATGGTGAAGGACTGCTTGGGGTAGTGTCTGCAAGAAGCAAAAGAAGACTCAGGGTCACTCTGGGGAAGGGGCAGGAGCCACTGGGCTTCTCACAGAGCGCTCTCTCCTGGGAACTACCTCCTAGGCCTGGGCAGCCCCTGCCCCGGCCCCACAGGGAGACCTCAGTGTCCACTGCCAACGCCAAGGGGGAGACAAGCATTTCTCAGACTCAGCTGGGACTGGCTGACCTGGGAAGACACAGCAGGCATCAGTGGCAGGCCGGCCAGGAAAGCTGTCTGAGCGAAAGGATGGCCATCAGGACACTCTCTGAGGGTTGAAGGTCACCCTTGTCTGGGGATAATCCATGCCCTAGTGCCTACCACACACAGAACTCGAGTCCACTGGGCCCGACTAGGGGAAGATGGGCACAGGTTCAGCTAAGACCAGAAGTGGAGACCAGCCATGCAGAGGAGGGTACAGGGAGACAGAAAAAGAAGGGGACGGCCAGGTGTGGTGGCTCACTTTGAGAGGCCAAGGTGGGCGGGTCACAAGGTCAGGAGTTCAAGACCAGCCTGGCCAACATGGTGAAATTTTTTAGTCTCTACTAAAAAATTAGCCAGGCGTGGTAGCACACGCCTGTAATCCCAACTACTCAAGAAGCTGGGGTAGGAGAATTGCTTGAACCCAGGAGACAGAGATTGCAGTAAGCTGAGACCACGACACTGCAACTCCAGCCTGGGCAGCAGAGCAAGACTCCATCTCAAAAAAAAAGGAAAAAGAAAAAGGGACACACATATCCAGGGGGACTTCCTGGAGGAAGTGGTGATAGAGAAAACACAAGACCAATGTGGTGTTTCAAAGGGTGAACAAGGTCCAACTTCATTTCAGGGTCAGTGGGAAGGCCAGCCTGAGGACGAAAAAGGAGGTCACCTGCGGGTGACAGGTAAAATACAGGTTGAATATCCCTTTTTTTTTTTCTTTTTTTTTGAGACTGAGTTTCACTCTTGTTACCCAGGCTGGAGTACAATGGCAGGATCTCGGCTCACCACAACCTCCGCCTCCTGGGTTCAGGCAATTCTCCTGCCTCAGCCTCCTGAGTAGCTGGGATTACAGGCATGCGCCACCATGCCCAGCTAATCTTTTGTATTTTTAGTAGCGACGAGGTTTTTTCACCATGTTGGCCAGAATGGTCTTGATCTGCTGACTTCGTGATCCACCCGCCTCGGCCTCCCAAAGTGCTGGGATTACAGGCTTGAGCCACAGCGCCTGGTGAATATCCCTTATTAAGGGACCAGATGTGTTTTAGAACAAGATGTGTTTCAGATTTTGGATTTTTTTCAGATTTTGGAATATGTGAATATCTATACAGAGACATCTTGGGGATGGGACCATTTCCTATACACCTCATACACATCATACAATATTTTAAATGACTTTGTGCATGAAACATAATTACTGACTGCTTTTTGACCTGTGACCTATCACACGAGGCCCGCTGTGGAATTTTCCCTGTGGCCTCATATCAGCACTCAAAGTTTTCTATCTTAGAGCACTTCAGATTCTGGAATTTTGGATTGGGGCTGCTCAATCTGTAGTAACAACAGTGGCTCACGCCTGTAACCCCAGCACTTTGGGAGGCTGAGGCCGGCGGATCATGAGGTCAGGAATTCAAGACCAGCCTAGCCAACATGGCCAAACCCCGTCTCCACTCAAAATACAAAAATTAGCGAAACGGTGGTGTGCACCTGCAATCCCAGCTACTCGGGAGGCGGAGGCAGGAGAATTGCTTGAACCTGGGAGGCAAAGGTTGCAGTGAGCCAAGATCGCCCCACTGTACTCCAGCCTGAGTGACAGAGAGAGACTGTGTCAAAAAAAAAAAAAAAAAATAGTGAATGTTCGCCCTGTGCTAAGGGCTTACGTGCTCTAGTTCACCAAATTCTCACAGCCACCGGGTGTAACTGGTACTCAGTGTACCCCTTTGACAGATGGAAGAACTGAGGCCAGAGAGGTTAAAAAACATGGCCAAGGCACACAGGGATCCAGCTCTGCACCCAGACAATCTCTTCAGTTCATGCTGAACTAAGCCGCCCAATTTCCAGGCCCAGGAAGGCCTGACCCCCAGCAAGACGGCCTAGCTTGGAGGTAGCCAGAGCCAGGGCAACCCTCAGAGTCTGCAGAGACCTCCAGAAGAATCTGGTCCAACTCCCTCATTTCAGAGGAGGAAACGGTGTGCTGGTGCCAGGTACCTCTCCCTTAGCCATCTTCATAATTAAGTGATTTATCACAGCAATGTATTATTGTCTCCTCTCTCCACTACTTCTCTATGAGGGGGGGGATTTTGGGGTCTCTTTTGTTCATTGATTTATCTCAGGCTCCTAGAATAGAAGGCAGTGCTCAATAAATAATTGTTGAATAAACAAAAGTCAGGCTGGGCGTGGTGACTCACACCTGTGATCCCAGCACTTTGGGAGGCCAAGGCAGGTGGATCACTTGAGGCCAGGAGTTCGAGACCAGCCTGCTAACATGGTGTAATTCCATCTCTATTAAAAATACAAAAATTAGCCAGGTACAGTGGCGCACAACCATAATCCCAGCTACTGAGGAAGCTGAGGCAAGAGAATCGCTTGAACCTGAGAGGCAGAGATTGCAGTGGGCCATGATTGCACCACTGCACTCTAGCCTGGGTGACAGTGCGAGACACTGTCTCAAAAAAAAAAAAAAAAAGTCACACCAGGAGTTGACGCTGGTACAGGGCTAGAACTCAGTCCTCCTCCATCCCCCTCTCATCATGAAGTCCCCTGGCAAACCAGCTGCAGGAGAGACAGGCAGCTGTGAGTCATGGTGGTTTGTGTGTACGTGCTGGTATGAGAATCGGCTGAGGGGCTGCATGGGCCCCAATTACTTCAGGGACTGGTGGGTGGTTTCTCCAAGCAGGAACCCACCAAGTCATTTTTAGCCCTGGATGACCACAGCCCACCACAGCTGTGAGCCCTGAAGATTCCTGACTCACAGGCCGCACCCAGGTAAGCGATGGATTGCCTCCTGGGACCTCTTCCTAGGCACATCCCACCCACGGCTGACAAACTCATGAGCTAGGCACTAGCTGCCCCTCTGCCCGGCAGCCCCTGTTCTCCAGTCGCCCACACCGCCCTCCATCAGAGCTACCTGTAAACAGGTGACTTCCCTTAAAGCCACCCACCACTTGTGAAGGGCAGGGCTCAGGATTTGAGGACTCAATCAAGGGAGGCATAACCTGAAAGGACCCAGTGCAGGGCTCTGGCCCGGCCACTGACTTAACTGGGTGACCTTGGCAAATCCTTCTTCCCTTGGGCCAGTTTCACTGTCCCAGATCCAGGTGATTCCAGCAGTCCCCTCCCCCAGCCCTCACCGGGGTCCTGGCCATCCAGGTCAGCCCAGACTTGCAGGTTCCCCCAGCAGAGGAAAGGAAGCAGATGAGGCAAGGCAAACACAGGCCAGGCAAGGTGGCTCATGCCTATAATCCCAGTGCTTTGGGAGGCTGAGGCGGCAGGATCACAAGGTCAGGAGTTCGAGACCATCCTGGCCAACATAGTGAAACCCCATCTCTAAAAACATTAATAATAAATAAACAAATAAATAATAAAGGCAAACACAGGTGCCCACAGCTGGCAACAGACATGCAACCAAGTCTGGGGTCCAGTCCCCGTGTCACCCACAGAGCCACCCACAGCTGAGGAGCTCCCTTCAAAGTTCCTGCACAATTCTAGGGCAAGGGAGGATCAACCTCGAGTCTGTTCCTGGAGACTAGAAAGGGAAGATCTCATGGCCGGGCGCGGTGGCTCAAGCCTGTAATCCCAGCACTTTGGGAGGCCGAGGCGGGTGGATCACGAGGTCAAGAGATCGAGACCATCCTGGTCAACATGGTGAAACCCCGTCTCTACTAAAAATACAAAAAATTAGCTGGGCATGGTGGCACGTGCCTGTAATCCCAGCTACTCAGGAGGCTGAGGCAGGAGAATTGCCTGAACTCAGGAGGCGGAGGTTGCGGTGAGCCAAGATCGCGCCATTGCACTCCAGCCTGGGTAACAAGAGCGAGACTCCGTCTCAAAAAAAAAAAAAAAAAAGAAAGGGAAGATCTCTAGCAGGGCCAGCAGGCCCTGAGGCCTTAAGAGGGAGGCTTCAGAGACAAGATTACCCTCCCCCAAAATCAGAGCCATTCTGCAGCTGTATGGGCGGGGGTGGGGGGGGCTGTGGAGAGGAGGGCGTCTGGAAGCAGAGGCATATGTGGCAGGGGCAGGTTTCGGGGAGAGGAGACCTGCAGGCAGCTCTGGCCCAGCACTCAAAGACTCAATTCTGAAAAGATGAAGCTGGTTAGCATTTGGTGGGAGGGGTAGAGGCATGCAGGGCAAATGCATCCTCGGGGGCCAGTCTGCAAACCCTGGGGTTTCTCATTTGCCAGAATGCACAGGGTTAAAACAGGCCAGGCTGGGCGCAGTGGCTCACGCCTGTAATCCCAGCACTTTGGGAGGCCCAGGCGGGCAGATCTCTTGAGGCCAGGAGTTCAAGGCCAGTCTGAGCTACAGCACAAGAGCTCGTTTTAAATAAATAAATCAATAAAACAGAGGCTAGCCCCTACGGCCCAAGGACCACCAGACAGGTGCACCTGACATGTCCCACCCACTCCACAGCCCAAAGCTCCTAAACACACTGCACTGTGCCTCACACACGATGAATATACAGATGTGCCCTCTGCATGGATGGGTGCCTCCAAGGAACCGAGGCCAGCAGGTCTACACTTGGCACACACCCCCCCGCACCCCACACCGTGTCCCTCTCCTCGCCCTACACCCACCGGAAGGTCTCGGGAGCCCCTCCAACATGAAGCAGGCACCTTGGGTGAGGTTGGCAGGTAGTTCATCCTCTCTTTGGAAGCACCCCTCCCCCACTCTCACTCCCCCACAGCTGCAGCGCTAATCCCATCAGAAGGGAAGTGGAGGTGAGCCAGCCCAGATGTGAGCTCAGCTTAATTTGGCAGGGGCAAGGGAGGATTTTAATCCTGCATCAGATTA